AATAGCTATTTTCTTTTTATGCCCAAGGCCCTGGTGGCCCCCCAAGTTCCGTCTTCCCTCACCCTTCGTCCTCTTCATCGCCGCCACATTCAAGCCACATTCCGAGCCAAGACCTTTTCCCCTTTCCAGCCGTTTTGGAAGAGGCTCCTTCCGACTATGACAACGTTCAGCGACGAGGCGCTTCTCTGTCCACCGGAGAAACAGGCAAATTGGCTTCTCGCGAAGGCCGCCTAGTCCAGGCTACTACTCGCCATGGTAACGACGTTCTCTGCGTCGGCGTAGAGTTGAACAGCTCAGAAGTTGGCCGTATGGATCGGTCGAACTCGAGTTCTGTCCAGCCTGGCGGTAGGGGCCCGGTCGCATCTGCCGCCGGCCTGACTGATGTGGCTCTCGCCGGAAGGCCGGCTGATTCTACCGAATTGGTCGCCCCTGGCACAAGTCCCTCGGGATGTGGGTGTCCCCGACGTCTCGGGCATCAGGCAGACGAGCCGACCGTTGGAAGACAGTCTGAGAGCCAAAATGGCCGCTCGGCCAGACTGTGTTTTGGACGTCCTGCTGCGCGCCGATTGGCCAAAATGGTTGGTAGCCGAGAGACGACAGCCTCCGGGGGCGGGTCTTCATTCAGTGGCTCGGGCAAGCCAATGACCAAAGGCCTCTTGTTGATGCCATCGTCGTTAGGATCATCAATGATACCAGCGCCCGGAGAGGAGAGCGACGCTATGAGCGGGTGAATTGACGTGAACAGACATTTCAGCTTAGTCTTGTCGTGTCTGACGTTTCTTTCTTCTTCTCATTTCACATGCATGCTTTACTGGTAGTCTCGAACCTCTGATTACAAACGAGAAATAAAATAATGTCGATTGCTTTAGCAAATATGACCTTGCTTCTTCGACAATACCACAACAAAATGCGATATGGGAACATAAGAGATGTATTCACACTAGTTCGTTTTAGATGATAAAGGAACTGGTAGTCGAATTTTCCAACATTCATCTGAGAAGCCATGACGTTTCCGTGGAATTTCATGTAGCCTTGCTTCTCCAATAGGTCTTTTCATCCACTCATTGATAGACTTCAGTTTCGATCCCGCCTAGGTCTTATCAGCAGCCCCAGCGGGACTCGAAGCATGAAAGTGCGGTGCATACTCTCGACACGTTAACCAGTACGCAACATTCAAAAGTTATCTAATCACCGGTTGAAGTAATTCCCACTTTTTCTTGGTTTATGCCTACTTGGACATTAGTTATGAGTCTGTAAACTGTGTCACTTAAGGTCGTTTTTTTGCGCTCTGTTCCAATTATTTGAAGCTATCACCGTTTGTTTAGTACCCTTAAAGACGCATGAATACACAAATACACTCACAAGTACGCATATGCACATGTTTCTAGACCGCTAGCCAACATGAACCAACCATATTTTTACTTTGGATGAAACAAGTTGTAATTTCCGAATGAGAACTCTAGGTTTTTTGATGCGGTGAAGACTGGATGGTGAATTTTCCCACAATACAATGTCTAAGCATAGGACCCTAATGAATTTACTTTTTTCTTACCTCCCCAAAATTTTCGACTTTACTTCCTCCTATCATCGACACCCTTAATCGTATCTGAAACCGAGTCGTGCGTGTAAAGGGGTGTCTAGTCCACTAAGCTACGGATGCCGGGCCATTCTCAAATCGCTGTTATAATGACAGACTTGTATTTTCTATTACATTTGACCTCGTCACTAGCATAGTCAGTGTGCTTAGTAGCTCCCAATAGATTTTGACTAAGAACTTCAATCATTCTGGGTTATTTAAGATTGTGTACTGACTGATAATGCAATCTTACACATTGAAATGAGATTCAAAATCTTGTGATAATATTGAAACCTACTCACAAAGAATGTAAGTAGCACAGTCAATTTAATGGCATATAAAAGTGCTTCTACGACAGGCCCTCTTTACAAGTGGTTTCTGAGAGGGTAACGAGGTCAAAACTGCGGTCCAGTCTGAATGAGTAAACCTTTTGTAAAGCAAATCAAAGTGGCATTTCAATGTTGGATATTTTTATTTTAACTCCCTACATAAGCTCCAGTGGCTTTAGCTGACTAAGGTTTCTATGCAGCTTGCTTGTGTATCAATTTTCTTGTGACTATAAAA